CTTGAATGTTGATAATAGCTTATTACATGTTCGAAGAGCATTTAAACTAATGTTGACATTTTCATTTAAAGTCGAAAAAGATAAATTAAATTAGATGGAGAAAAAAAAAATTCTACATACAGAGTTTAAAACTCATGAGTACTTAAAACAGTTATAAATTAACCTATGTTGCGTGGACTCAGATGTACATCTTACAAATTTAATTTTTTCTTTAAAATTTATATAGCCCCCGTTTGAGCCACATTTTTATCTCATTAAAATGAAAAATATGACCGTTATCCATCACATCAACATTTAAATTTAAATTTTCTATCTCTTGTGTGGGCCCCAATAACGACTATATTTTTCATTCTCATTCTAAAAAAAGGTGGCTCAAACAGATAGATAATGATAATTTTAGGATCATTTTTTAGGGATATATATAAATAGTTTTGACTGTAATCTTTAAACAAATTAAGTTGCAAATTGTATTAGTTTATTAAGAAATGATAGATACATATTAGAAATCACTTTAAATCCATAAAAAAGTAACAAAAATGGTATAAAGGATCATCTGCTTATTTAAAGTATCTGACACGGATCTCATACCCTCATCCTTGTCGTGTGTGTCTATACGGGTACTTCATCCGAAATAGAGTCCAAGCAACTCGAAACAAAAAATGTCTAAAACAAACAATGTGCAAAACAATTTTTTTTTTTATTCTTCATGGGGTGGGTTCGGAGAGGGGCATCTCCGCCCCGTGACCTGAGATGGGGTGGCGAACCCCACCCCGCAAACCCAGCACGGTGCGGCAGGGCGGGGTTTGCCATCTCTATTGGGAAAGCATCTTCGTAGGTACGAAAACAAGACAAAAGCCGGTGGAGTTGGCTAGGAAAACTTAAGAAAATCAACTAGTACTTGACAGCTCACCTCATGGTTGAGTTGGAAATTATATTAAGTTTTCAACTATTTTGTTGTGGATATCATGAAATGTGCGGTTGAAAATGAATTTGACAAAACATAAGTTTTAGGAAATGGAGCCAAACAGGGGCTAATTAACACTAAGAGAAGAAACTCATGAAATATTATATAACAATAATAAGGTTGGTTCTATAAACAGAGTCCTGATTCTGCTGATTCTAGAATTAATGAGAGAGATGCGAGTGTCAAAATCAATGGGAAGGTATTTTCCACATACAGGCACGGCACAAATTGTGCACAATCTAAAATAAATGAAAATTTACCATGAAGATTAGTGCAATAAATCCACTCCGGTGGAGCTCCAATGGAAAAGTAGCCAATATATTGACAAACACCAAGCTCTTCATGGGCAAACACATCGCTGTGTTATTTTTCTTGCTTTTTGGTTCATTGTGCTTGATTATGGTCTGTCTGCTGCGTGTGGTGGACTATTTTGGTAGCTTTAATTCTGTGTGAATAGCATAACAGATGCATAGAGGGAAAAATACCATATCTAGAGACACATACTGACACCAGTGATTCGAGCTATTGGATTTGTCTCTTGAGAATTGCTTTTATGCATCTAACGAGTCCACATATATTTTGTTATAGAATTCATCAAGAAGTGATGTTTCATCACTTTCACAAAAACCATTGACAATGACTACACGAACTATCAAAACAAACCATGTTGAAATGTATGAAAGAGAGAATGAGTAAAGAAAAGAGAGGAATGTAGGGATGGCAAAATTGTATAGTGATGCGAATATTTTAATCCTAGTGCCGTCCCCGCTCCATCTTATGAAAATATCTGATGGGACAAGGACAGGGATGCCATTCCCTTAGTGACCCTGCCCCGCCTTTTTGTCATCCAAGAAAGACGAAAAGATTGAAAAAAAAATTGAAAATAGGGTAATTTAGTTCAACGAAAGAAGCCATGACAACAAATCTTAGCGTGCATATCACATAATTAAGAATAACTAACTTTAATAGGATAAAAGAATTAAATTACAGCAATAAAGCTTGGGTTCTATAAACATAATGTGGACTCCGCAGATTCTGGATTTATTGAGAGAGGGTTTTTTAAAGAGTGATGCTACAAGTACGTAACTTTCTACATAATGGTCTACATAATTACACGTGGCATTCGTGGCATTCATTCAAACCTTTAATTCAAATCTGACATTTAGGATGTGTGCCACATCACATTGTGTTAATCATTGTGTACATTTATTATGTACACTTAGCATTTTCCCATTTTAAAAGGGTTGGGACAATGGTTTTCCTTACATAAGCTAAATAAATGAAATTTTTTACAAGAACAAACATTTGACAAAAAGTAAATTGATGAACAAAGTGAAAAATTTACCATTTCTTGAGTCCATATTGACATCACTGACTTAACATTGGGTGTTGACATCTTCGAGTTGCTGGATCTGGCTCACTTAAAGCTTCTTCAGTTCATCCAACAAGTCCTCAGACATTGTCACGGAGCTAATCAAGAAATGCTTTTCCATATCTTTGAGAAACTCCATTGACAATGGAGGTTGAGAAGGACTAAAAATTTGATAGAACAAGTTGTAAAAAGGGGTTAGAATTTAGTTCGACAAAAGAATGCACAAAAAGAAACGTTTCAGTGCATATGCCATAATTAAGAATAGCTAATGCTAAATAGAATAAAGTATTGCTAGGGAGGAAAGACGATAACGCTGAATGAAGAGAAGCCCTAATCATGGTAGTTTAAATAATTAAGAACCGTGGTNATGAAGAGAAGCCCTAATCATGGTATTTTAAATAATTAAGAACCGTGGTTTGATTATAGAAGTCACACATGTTCTAAAGGTAAAAGAAAAACAGGCGCATGACTTTGCTTAAAACAACAGTCACACAATTGAACAAATAACATTTTATTAGTCAAAAATCATGGAAGAAAACCCAATTGAAAACTTAAATTTTAACCACCCAACCTTAAATTGAGAAGAATGCATCACACACGTATAGAAGCTGTCATGAACTCAACTAGCCTTCCTTGATTCCTGTTCTGCCGGTTTTGCATTTTACTTCAGCTTCCTCAAATTGTTTCATCTCCATTCAAGAACTTGTTAGCAATCAGTGGGATCCTAAAAACCGGGCGTGGATTCCACGTATTTTAGAATTAATGATAGAAGGCATGTAAAAAGAGCTGGGATAATCCTTTCTTTGATGGGCATGGCACGTGCACGGACATTGCACAACGTGCGCACGAGCTAAAATAAAAATGATTTTTTTTCCAATAACAAAGATAAAAAAATAATAATTGAAGCATAAAGAGAATGTAACGAAATAGAAAAGGGCAATAAAGATGGTTCAATCCAAAACGATGTACTAAAAAATAGAAAAGGCTAAAGCAATTAGCTGCATCAATTCTACCTTGTTCTAAGAACGGAGTTCAACCTCGGTGGAATTAGTAACTTAAAAATATATATACACAAAAATGTCCTAAATAGCCACAAGCCACAAAACCGAAGACAAACTTAAAAAACTAAAATCATGTTACCATCCTTTAATTCGAACATAAATGACTTGGGAGAGAGCTTGAGGGCGTGGAGAAAATTAAGGGGAAAACATAAAATTTGTGAAACTACCTCAAGTCTTCAGTGTAATGCCCTGAGTTTCGTGAACCGGATTGCCACGTCATATTCTTTTGTAATTGAATTAACTAAAAAGATTTGCGAAAAATAATTAAATTTTAAACATCACATTTATAACGGTAAAACCTCGTCGTCAACAAAACTCATTTGATTAACTTAAGAAATTTAATTAAACTTTAAATTCCGAGTTTTCGAAATAACTGAAATAACAAGTACGTTAATAACGTTCAAACACGTAAATTTTTAAAAGTAAATTACGTCATTCATTAAATCGTTGCCATTACTGCCCATCAAACCCGACTGTCTCTAAAATCTGCAAATATCATTAAAATAACGAAATGAGTATTTCGATGAAATA